GGAAATTGTTCATTTCCCTTTGTGCAAAATTTACGGTGATTTACGCTAGCGAGCGCACAAGGTAGATGTAAAGCAGCAACCACCATTCATACAGTTAACAACCTGATTGCTTCAAGTTTGCAAAAAGACACAATTGCACCGGCGAGCCCTGGGTTTTTATGAATAGATTCTGTATTAAAATTATAATTATTTTTTTCGCTCTGAAATCATCGTTACAAATTCATTCTATCCAGAAATCCACATAGTTCGCTGACTGCACATAGCCTGACATTTAATGTCTTACTTTGAAAGTTTAATTAGAATAAAAAAAGGGCAGAAACTAATTTCCCATTCCATAGTGCATATTTGCAACAATTCTCAAACAGCATTTCAACAACTAATTTTTGTTTTGTTTTCATCCACAAATCCTCCGGGAATTCGAAAATGCTAAGGCACAAATAACAATATGGCTTCGTAACATCATCTAACAGAATCTTACAAGTTTTCTCAAAGGGATAATTCTATTATTCACGCTGATGCTGAAAACGCAAATTCACTCTGGATTTCATCGTAATACAACAAAAATTTTCGAAAAGTGCAAACAAAAACAAGTAAAACTACGACAGAAATCTCCGAAACTCGATCCATCAAAACAGAACAACTCTTAGAAACAGTGCCCCAAAACGGCCAGCTGTTAGTAACATCAAGATCTACTGATAATACTAATGAAACTACCACAGCCACTGATATTATCAATCATTGGCATTTCAACAAACTATATCATGAAGCTATTAAACTTATGATAGAATTTAAACAATAATATTTCTTAATTTTCACTTTATTTTTTTGTACTAATTTTTTATATTTACTACTTTTCTGCTTTTTTTAATACTTTTTTTTTTACTTTTTTTAATATTTTTTACTTTTTTACTCCCTTATTTTTTACTTTTTTACTCTTTTTTCCACTTTTCCACATAAATTCAAAGCACAACTCTGCGGCTGTGGACCTGTATGTCTGAAAGTAACACTATCGCGTACGATAATGCACAGCTAAGAACCAAAGCGAAACACTTTGCCAAAAAGTTTTCAGTGCTCAGGAATACACTACTAAATCTTACCCAGGCCATTTCTCTGAAGGCTAAATCGCGCAGCCTTTCTAGAAATGCGAATTTTTGTTCAAAACGTTTGCCTTCATTGAGAAACTGGGCTTCCATTAGCAACTACAGATTGCTTTCCAGGAAAATGACAGCGAAATGATCCGCGAAGCTTTTCGTGTATTCGATCGTGATGGTAACGGGTACATAACGGCCGATGAATTTCGATATTTTATGACGCACATGGGAGAGCAATTCAGTGACCAGGAAGTTGACGAAATTATGGCTGAAGTCGATATCGACGGTGATGGGCAGGTTAGGAAAGTTTTTTCCAAGCGCAGCACAAGCCATAGCCATATTGCAGTTTATTTCTAAAAGTGCGTGCCCAGCTTCCAATGAAAAGGGCGCATGAAGCTTTCTAAAAAATTCTGATTTCTGGGCAACAGACTGAATTTATATTTGTGACTTTGTGTCTATTTATTTGTGACTACTTTTTTTATATATCAACTTCACTCACTCGTTCTCTTTATTACCCACTTATATTATTACTTTACCTAACCCATTCTGATAAAACAATTCAAATCCTGAAATTCATATTAATTACCACGGCCGTCGCACTGACGAGGTCTAATTATGGCAATGGTAAGAAATGTAAAGAAATATTTCCTACCGTTAAAAATATTTCAATACTTTGTTAGTCCTTCTTTTAACATTAAAATATTTTATTTATCTTATTAACTATTCACCTTTCCTTATTGAAATCAGCTTTTCAAAACAGCTAGAGTTTGATAATTCACTGTTTCATAACATAAGTTAACTTTTTATTAAAAGATAAAAATATGCGTTGCAACCGTTTGCTAACGACGTCCAGCTGCGATGCCAGGATAAGACATATAAGATTTAATAAACGAAAACATTTTTACCCTAGCTGATATCAACAAACGTTTATATTTATACATATATATGTTTTGTTTGCGCATATATGTTCATATAAATGGTCTTGCAATTTAAGAATTTCAAATTCAGCTTTACGGAGAAGTGGAGTACCCATGTACGGGTATGTGAAAGTTTTGGCGGGAAAACTGCTAACTCGGTAACCAGAAAAGCTGGAAGACTGAAATTTTGGGGAGCATTCCCGCCTATATTTATATTTCTGTTTCTCTATGCGTTTTTCTATTACTTCATTTTCATTCACTTATAACTTCTTATGTCCATTAGTTCATCCGCAGCATTTTATTAATAATTATAGCAAAGTTTAAAGTTTGTAACAGTAATTTCAACAATTTTTAGCGCCTCTTAACAGTTCCCAGCTAATTTTTATACTTAGCGCTAAATTAGTTGAAATTTGCGTTGCCTGGCAAAAAATTTCAATTATCATGGCTGGACTTTACGGCCCTCTGGCTAAACTGCATACTCATTAGCTCTGTTTTTCGCATTCACACTTCTTTTCCCAGCTGGCAAACTTGCCCGCTTTAGCACAAAAAAGGAAAAGTAACGCTCAGAATGTTATGAACGGAGCCTTCTGTCAAAAACTCCCATGGGCCGGGAGGGAAACGAACCATTCCAGTTCATTTTCAAGCACAACTCGCTACCACTACACCACCAGAACCAAGCGCCAGCCATTTACTGTGCATCCGCCTTTAAAGGCAGAATACACCTTTCTTTTCTTCTCTGCTTCCCACAGGCAGTTTGCACCTTTTTCCTGAGTGGTTTTTCGCAGGTTTTGCGCGACACATAGTGCCCCTAATCTGAAGCCAAGGAACTGCATGCAGCATCCTTACAGCAATACAACCACTATTTTAGGCAGAACACGAGTAAGTGAATGAGTGGGGTTAAAAGAATAAAAAATTTCAAAAGCAGTGCGCAAGTAGCACTTTCACAACACAAGAGGCGCGGAACTACTCATACACTATTAGCACAGCCACGAAAGTCTGGCCGGACCACAGCAAAGAAAAACTTATCTTAGGCTAGAAAGAAAAAATTATGATATTTACCACTTATACGAGAAAGAACGAATTTTAAATTTCAGATCAACTACGAGGAATTCGTGCGCATGATGACATCCTAGTGCTCCACTGTAATTGCTGCTTCTGAGGCGATGAACAACATGGAATGCGACATAAACGAATTGACTATGTGGCAGCAAAGGCACAAGTTCTTACATCTCTACACCTAATCCTGACAAATCCCCTTGTTCCTGGTCCCCTCAACTGTTCCACTCGGGGAATTTCATAGAGGCCACCAGACCACTGCAGAAAACAATCTACAAAGCTTTGGGTGCCACTTATATCGAATCTGAAATCCTTTTCTTCCAGAGAAACCTAAAAATCGGCGAATACGTAGCAAAAGATGACATTAAATCTACAGCAGCGGATTATAAGCCAATCGAGTTTTCCAGTTTACCTTCCACCCCTTCCCCTTTCTTGCTCCACATATATTTGACGGGTTTAAGAAACAGTCCTACGTAATCCACAGCCAGCCAAATATCCGACTGAAAAGTTGAAATTTTTGAATTTATTTGCTGATCCGTGCAATTGTAAATCTGTGTACATTTTTTCCAAATTCTCTGATAGTGTAAAAAATAAAAACTCAGTCCCATATTTAATCACTTATCAGAATGTTATGCCAGTGGCGTATCCGAGCTAGGGGGAAGCAAAAAAAAGCAATTTCTTGGCGTTCCTCAACCAGCCCGCTGTTTTGATAAAAAACAATAACCCTCCCGCTTTTCTGTAATTTTCCAACCAACTAAGTATTTTTGGTCAATTTGCAGATCTTCAATTTGAAATTTTTGGGAAAACCTGGTGATTTAGTGAGTTTGCCTAAACTTTTCGAAAGATTCCGATGAACTGCTACTATGCTTCCTCATTCCTCCATCGGATACGCCACCGCACTGTGCTAATAAAAGATAGTCGTGATGTAAACTACTATAAATAAGTGTGGTGTTATTTTGTGGAATAATAAAACTATACATTATGTTAAAGCCAAAACCGCATGGTTCTCACAGTTCATGCAAAAAAAAGAGCTCCCGGTCGTTTAGCTCAAACTACCATTCGTTTCGATGGTAAACAGACTGTAGCAACCAGGTTGACCCTAGAAGTCTAAATTGCGAAGTTTTACGTGCTTTTATACTGTTTGCTTACTTATTTAAAAAATTTGGGGTAGCTGACATTCACAGTTCATTTTCTCTAACTATGCAGCTGGTTACTTTTCCGGTCGCTTTGACTAATGCTGCATCGCTAGCTGATCAGCTACTCATAGGCGGACCCAGGGCGGCCTTCTGGGAAGGGGAG